AAAAAACAGTAGAAAAAGGAAAATACACTACTTACGGGTATATTTATTCTTAAAGAAAAGGAGACGTTTAAGTGGTCATAGGGGTCTCGAACAAAAAAAGTGCACCTCAATTCTCTGAATCTCACACTTACCGCTACATTAGCATGTAAGCTATAACTAGGGGTTTGATACAGTTACCTACAAAAAAAAAATTATTTACCCTTATCTACCAATTTATTTTTTTACCAATAAACTAATTACATTTTCTACCCATAGTAGTTTTTGTGGGGAATTTTTTCTTTATTCTCCAATTCTTTTTTATTTCGATGCTTCTTTTCTCTTTCTTTTTCTTCTTTTTTTCTTTTCTCCTTTTCTTTTTTCTCGTTTTCTTCTTATTTTTTTTTTTCCTTTTCTAAGTTCTAACTTCTTTTTTTTATATTCTTTTTCTCTTCATAATCTAATTTCATTTACTGTTTTCACTATTTTTTATTATTCTTTTTTTATATTATTACCAAAGAAAAATCAAATTGTGTACCAATTAAATGTAGCTAATACAACCAAAAAATATTAACTAACATATGATACCAGTATAGTATATAGCTATACCAACAGGGTATACAATACGCCAAGAGTTTAAAAGTTTTAATTCAATTATAAAATTGAAATAATATCAGTTGTCAATAAAAATTAAAAAATTTTAAAAGGATCTAAATGTAAGAGTATACCATTACGTTATATAGCATACTATAATTTATTTATTTTTTGCATTTTCAATTTGCCCCTCACGCTGGGTAAAAGCTTAAAGCAAATTAAAAGAGAAAAGGCAAGTGAATTTACGGGTAATAAGTATACTATTATTGTATATTGTATACTATTACAGCATATTGCTACAGTATATTGCATATTATTACAGTATACTATAACAATATATTGTATACTATAATAGAATACTGTTGCAGTATAACTATATACTCCTATAGTATATTGTATACTGTAGCGGTATACTATTAGGTAACTGTGTTCTTCTTCAATTATTACAATATTCCATTGCAGTATATTGTAAACTATAATAGTATACTGTTGCAGTATAGCTATATACTCCAACATCATATTGTATACCGTAGCAGTATATTATTGGATAGCTGTGTTCTTTTTCGATTTTCAGCTGAAATTTCCAACTCAATCACCTTAAATCAGCTCCAAATGCTATCAAATTTCAGTATGAACTTCTAGAAGGTATTATAAGCAATATTTAACAACACCCACTTTGAATCAAAAAAGAAATCTTCAAAATAAAAATTTTAAGCCAAGGCAAGAGGAGGGAAAGAACAATCAATAAAAAGTGGAGCAGAATTTCTCTGCTTCTTTTAAAGGAGCAGAGAAATTTGGGTGAAGACCCAAGATTAAAGAATGCTTGGTCTTAATTTTAGTAACTCCAGATCCTTGAATTATTTTCTTGTTTGCCATTTCTTGACTTACTTGTAATTTGTTATGATATTCTTTGTTCCTATGAAGATTTTCCCCACCACGACTCCTCTAACGGCTCCCACTCTAATCCTTCCGCTGCTAACAATTCGGCTAAGGTACGACTATTTTTTTTTTTACTTTCCCCAGGTGGATTAATTTATGTAATGGTAATCTTCATTTACTAATTTAAAATCCTAAATTCGTCTATATTTGCATAGGGAAATTTTTCAGTTAGTTTGGTCTGCTGATGTTTGAGTTTGTGTGTTGGGTGTTTAAATAACCGGGTAAATAGTTTGGGCCCCATGGGTAGGAGTAGTAAATAGTTTGGGCCTAGGCATTAAAGGGTAAATAGTTTGGAATTAATAGGTATAAAGTGAGATTTAAACTAAAAGGATTTTTTGTCAAACACCAACCTATTTAATTACCCAACAATAACCGAGCAATTATTTCAATTACTTAGTTTCCTCTATATGAATATTTTTAATTTTATTGTGTTATGTTCTTGGTTAGATGGACACAGCCAAGAAACTTAATGTCAGTGGATCAATTTCAGAATTCTCAAGGGCAACTTAAAGTGATTTAGCTTTTCAGGAGATTCGAAACAAATTGCTTTATAAAATCCTTCCATATATTACCTTTATAATTCTTGGACTGCTTCTAAATGCACCAGAACATAAAGATTATAAAAGGAGTAAAAGAATGACCAATGAGCACAAGTAAATATTCTACTCAACCATTGGCCCCAAAGGCTTTTAGTGTTCGCCGTTCAGGGTACCAAGTGATTTAAATTAATCATTTTTAAGGGATACGCATGCGCGCGCGCGCACGCACACACATGTATGTATGTATATATATACACATACAAGATATCTGCCAAAGTTTACGAGGTCCGGTGACCCCTCAACATAACACACAGGTCCGCCTCTGGCAATGAGCACGCAACAAAGTTTCTCTCCACCATCTCATCCACTTTGTTGAGTACTCCCACATCGGTGATGGGATGAGGGACTTTGTCTTCTTATACGTACTTGGGCAATGCTTACCTCATGAGCTAAATTTTGAGGTTGAGTTAGGCTTAAAATCCATTTCATGGTATCAGAGCCAGACTCATCAAAGAATTGTTGGCCCCCATAATATAATTTTTCACGCTCCAAGGCGTGCAGGGGTGTTGAGTACCGCGTTGGTGATGCGATGAATTGGCAATCCTCATCTCATCATGAGCTAGTTTTTAAGGTCGAGTTAAGCCCGAAGTCTCAATTCCTGATTTATCCGATGTTGAGCCACGTTCCAGTTGGTAGGCCTCGGCATGCCGGGGTGTTGAGTCCCACATCAATGATTGGATGAGAAATTTGGTCTCATATTATATGGACTTGGGGTATCCTCACCTCATGAGCTAACTTTTGGGTTTGAGTTAATTCTAATGTCCATTTTATCACACTTTCATTATCTCTCTCTATAGAAAAAGAAGTCTTTTTTGTTTTGATTTGGTAATTAAACAAATTATAAAAGAAAAACAAATGAAAAGTTGGTTTTCAAATTCGACGAGTTGGGTTATAACTCATTGTTTAACTCAAACTGATCCAAAATCATCTTCATCCAAGCAAACACTAGATGGGGTCACGATTCTTTCATTGATTCAAATTGTTTTTAACCTGTCTTCGATCCAAGCTGCTCATGTAATTGTAACATCATGTCATACAAGTTTCTGGCCACATCCAAATGTAAAAATGAAAATAATTATAGTTCACACCATTATGGCTTGGCATCCAAACCTAAACCATGACACATATTTTCACATGTTTGATATCAAACAGCCAAGGTAAAAGTTAGAAGCAGATTTCATCATCCAAATTTAGGTTTCACGCATAAAAGTATGATAATTCAAGATGCTGCCATATGTTTGGAGCTGTAAGAAACATGGAATTTGAAAGAGACTGGCTTCAACTACCTTCTTCGTCCTATTATTTATAATTAGTTTTAGTGTATGTGTGTATACAGCGTCAATCAATAAAAAATATATACGAAAGAATAAATTTTGAAAAATACAGTTGACGTTAAAATAAATGCAATTTTTTTTAAATGATGAAAAAATGTTATTACATTGACACGATTGCTAAATTTAATATCTTTTGAATATGATGACCAATTTAGTCAAATTAATTGTATAGATTAACATGGTGTATAAAACGGACGAGGGTCGGACCAAGTTGGAAGTTTAGGACAGCAGCTGAAGCTCCCCAGTTCTGTCATAATCGCACCTGCACTTGGCCAGCCGCAGGTGCGGGTTTGCAGGTGCGAGCCACGAGCCGTAGAAGCGAAGGAGGGAGGACAGCCTAGGCTGTGCAGGTGCGGACGTTTTGGCGCACCTGCACGACTGCATGTGTGAGGTCAGTGGTCGCAAGTGTGGGCTTGTGCGCAGATGCGGTCCCTTGAGCTCGCAGATGCGGAGCTTGGCCAGTAGGGGAAAATGCGCACCTGCGATGGCTTTTCCGCAGGTGCGGCCAAGGCACCGCAGATGCGAAATCGCTGGAGGCAGTGAGGTTCATTAAATACGGGACTTAAGCATTTCTCTCCCATTTTCTTTCACTCTTGGGCGATTTGAGAGCTTTTAAGGAGGGGATTTTGACCTAGCTTTTGAAGGTAAGTAATATCTACCTAATGTGAGTTTAATACATAGTCTATGGTATATTATAAGATGTAAAATTGTGGAATTTATGGGTTAGATGGAAAACCTAGGTTTTTGATAAAAATGAGATTTTACCACGAAAATGATTATGGAACTAAGTGAAAATCATATATTTATGTTCTTAAGATTATGGGTAACAACTTTCTTCGAGAATTTCCGGAATCCGGGCTCGTGGGTCCGGGGGTGAATTTTAGGAACCTTACATTTAGGGTTGGGTAATCACTTGAATTGTTAAAATATGAACTTTTGAACATATATTGATTAGTTGTTACTCTATTTGAATAGTTCGGATTGTTCGGCACCGATTTGAGAGTTTGAGCATTAACTTGGACCGGAAAGTAGGCCTTGAGACGAGGTAAGTCTCTTTTCTAACCTTGTAAGATCAAATTTTCCCCATAGGTGAACTTAATTAATATGTGTTGCTATTTGTGGGGGCTACGTACGCACGAAGTGACGAGAGTCCGTACGTAGCTACTATTTCTATTTATGTCCGGGTAGTTTTAGGTTTACACCATGCTTTGTGGA